ATTCATTCATTGATCCGGATAAGCCAACACTATATCTACCCAAGGACCTGCAAGTCTCTGGACCCGAGGTCGGGAAGCCAAGATCCCCTGCGGATCCTGACTCGCGTCAAGATCCGCTAACAAAACAAACACCCCGGCTCTGGTTGGTCTGAAGAAGATCTCAAGTCCATGTATCACCGCAAGGATATACGTGACTTCATGGACCAGGATCCAGTGGTGCGAATCCTGAAGCTCAAGCGGATCACGGATCCAAAGGACCCTGTGACTGCCCCCGCCACACTGGCTAACCGCTTTGATGCAGCGATGGAGCTGATCCGTCTGTTGAAAGTTGCCGGTATGGCCCCGGGATCCTTCGACGCGGACGCACTGTTCGACCTGGATCTTGATGTGATCCAAGCTACCAGCCGTGATCTGTTCCAGAAGTTGAGGATCCTAGTTGGCGAGGCGCCCCAGAGCCCGGATCCACGGCCACTGACCACGTCAGACGCAATCGATAACTTGACAGTGTCGTCACATTATGCGTCAGCCGCAGAAGATAGATCTGACACTTCCTCGGAGCCACCGCGACGGATGTCCCTAGGACCCTCCGGGACATCAATGCTGGAGGCGAGATCCAAGATCCGCCGCTCTAGTCCAGCCAGAAGCAGTCGCCGCGATAATGGATCCGCACCAACGGATCAGGCCACGGTCACCGAGAGCTCAGATCGATCAGTCGGTACCTTGCAGAAGTTCTTCAACGCTGCAACGGACCGATACCTGGTCAAAGAACGAGAGACGAACAAAGGCCCAGCCTCTACACGTCCACAGAATCAAGGATCACAAGATGTCGAGATGGAGTCCATTCGATCTTCCGATCATGGATCTCGCAGGGAGTACGACCCGGATGATGTAGATTTTCCCACCTCGGCACAAGCCACGGTGGACACCGCTGCTACGGGATCCACAGGTTCCACCATGATCCAACGAGTACGGATCTCAAGGAGTTCACTGGCAAAGACCAAGCCGAAGACGTTCACTGGCAGGGATCAAGACGAAGATCGAGCGCGAGCGTGGATCAGCAAAGTCAAGTCCGCGTTCATGCGGGATCAAGCATCGGATGACGAAAAATGCTTGACCTTCGCAGATCTTCTCGCTGGATCCGCGAGGAACTGGTACCGCCAGCTGAGTAGATCCACTCGCAACAAATGGAGTGAACTACTACGAAGTTTCCAGATTCAGTACTGTGGACTTGGAGTATTGGTGGCAAGACAGTATTACCATGCGCGACGCAGATCTGACGAGTCGCCGCTGGATTATTTGTATCGGCTCAATGTGGCGGGACTCCGCGCGAGATTGAAGATCAAGGATGGCAATGCGAAGGAACGACGCGAACATGTCGATCATTACATCGAGACGCTCGAGGACCAAGATGTGGCAGAGAGGCTAACCTTGCTGCGGCTGACTGACGCGGACGATCTTGAGGAAGTCCTCCGCGCTCGGGATCGCGCTAAGAATCGTCAAAAGAAAGCTGCGTTCGAATCCAGCAAGTACCGGCAAAAGCCTACCAATTCCACCCCGTCTGCTCCAGCGAAGCAAGTGCGAGCGATCCAGATCCAAGCTAACGACTCTGCATCTGATAGCGAATCGGATGGATCGGGCAGATCTGACTCCGACGTTGACAGTCATCGCAAGTTCTTCCTTGCAGCGAGTGAAGATGTTACCCCGAAAGTGGAGAAAGAGTCAGCGAACCTGGATCCACGACTTCCAGATCGTGGTCAGGGCCATCAAGATCATAACCTGAAGATCCACGGTAATGAGTTTAACCGCGATCGGTGTTCACACTGCGGATCCAGAAAGCACTCGGATCTTGGTTGCTGGAGGCGTGTTACGTGCACGAAGTGTGACAAAAGGGGACACCCTCGGATCACTGCCTCTTCGTGTGTCGCGGGAGTGGAGAACCGCATGACATGGGAAAATGTCCAAAGGAAGAGTTCTATTACCAGATCCGTCAGTGGTTTAACCCCACGAAACACATGGGTATGTTACCCGAAGCTGCTGAGAAGATGTTAAACTAGGACGCTGGTCGGGGTGGAATCCGATACGAGCCGAGCGTTCTAGATACTGCATCTATGCATTTGTGAACAAGACATCGGTAGATCAGGTTAGTAAAAAACCTGATCTACACGGTAATAGATGTGATCTGCATGGGAAACGCACCTTCGCAATTTCAAGTCTTCGCCTAGTCGACGAATATGCCAGATCCGACGTCACCATGAGCGTAAATCTTCAACCAGGAGAATCACGAGGCTATTGGAGACAGCAGGATCCAGATCTATGGTTTAAGCCCACAGATCATGAAATTACTCCGAAGATTCAGAGGCCTAGCAAGATCGCGGAGTATCGACAGTCAACGACCATGGATCTACTACCGGGAGAATCTTGTGGTTACTGGAAGCATCATTCGCCAGGAAAATGGTTTCGCCAAGCGAAGGTCACAGGCAAGATCCACAATGAGAAAGCGAGCTTACGCTTAGATACCGGCGCCGAGGTGTCCATCGTGGACACCGCCTTTGCTGGTAAGGTTGGGTGCTATATCGACTCGAGTCAGATCCAGGATTGTGTGGGAATTGGTGACATTGTGTACCGGACAGAAGGATGAACCCGGATCAAGGTGACTCTCGCTGGATCACTGGTATATTTCTCCGAAATCTGGGTTGGTGATCTGACTGGTCAATAAGTTATAGTTGGTATGGACTTCATGGCTCCAGCTGGGATCCGCCTAGATCTAGATCATGGATCGATCAGTTTGCCGGATAAAGTCCGGATCCGGCTTAGCGGGAGACGGCAGCTTTATAGCGACAAGGCAAAGATCATAAACGTCGGTCAATACCTTCAGATCAAAGCATAAGAGTCGGTGCAATTGCCATTGCGCCTGAGGTCGTCGATCCACGACAAGCTGTGGGTCACGCGTGGAGATCAATGGGTGCCGACAATATCCGGTGGACCAGGCAGGACGAAATACACCAACATCGGGGGCGAGGTGTTGATCCTGCATCAAAACCAACGGATCGGGATCTGGCTGGCTGGAGACCATGTGCCGCGGATACCGGGTTTTATCTCGATCGGCTCTCGTCGTTACATGGAGTGCCAGAATCTAGCGTTGGAAGCTACGACAGACACCTGATCCGAAGAAATGGAGGTCAAGGGCCCGCTGGTGCCCGCGGTGGAGCGGCCCGAGTATGAAACTCCGCGCGCAATACTCCAAAGACCGAAGGCGACGTTGATCCAGTGTCGGAAGGTCGAGGCGAGTCAGGATCATCAAGATATCCCTGACTGCCTACCCTCGGACGAGTCGCCGTCGGACAAGTCGCCGTCGGACAAATCGTCTTCGGAAATTCGACCGTTAGATCTAGCGTCTGTCGCAAGTGAGGAGTCGGATCTGTCGTCTATCGCAGACGAAGATCCTATATCGCATGCGATAACGGTCGAGGAGGCGTTAGAAGATCTCGATCAAGTGGTGTCAGACGTGGGCGACTGATCCGTCTTCGGATGAAACTACAGACGTGGTGGAAACGCGAGGAGAGGATGATCGAGATGAAATTGGGGTTGTCAATCAGGATCAACTACACTTGAGAGGTCAAGATCAAGGAACATCACCGTCGAAATGCGGCGGATTGGATCTGCCATCAATGATGAGTGTACAATCGGGGACGGGACATGTGACCGGTGATCCGTCGAACGGCAAGTGCGCCGCATCTATGTCGCAAAAAACGGACATGGATCCATCACCTGTTGTTGAAGATCAACCAGGCACGTTGGATCTGGACCTCACCTGGGACTCAGATAAAGATTATGATGAATGTGTATACTACCATGAAGGAAGTGATCTGTACGCAGAAGACGTCGATGGTCAGATGGCGGGACTGCCGGAAGTGCCTGTGACGACGGAAGATGTGAAGATCGAAGATATTCAGCTATGCGGATCTGATAATCAGACCTCAGAAGAAATTGATCGACTTCGCCAAAGGATCTGGAAGTTCCGGCATCTCTTGATCGGCAAAGGAAATGCCCTCCCGCCACATAGCGCAATACACCTGGGTGAGAAAACGTGTTCATTCACGTCACCACAAATGGAATATGCGAAGAAGATCAGCGATGTTGGGCAGATGCGGTGATGATGAGCTGGAGAAACTAGCTGTCGAGGTGAGTCCTCACCCGTACCGATTAGTGGAAAAACAGTACTGGATTGCGATGGATCGCAAGACCCGCTACGAGATACGCAAGATTCACCCGACAATGTTTGCACTGACTGGTGTTAGTGACGCTGAGGCATTGCATCATGTCGATACAACATTAAGTTATGCATGTAAATTGAATTGAGTGCAGACAAATACTAATATGGATATGTATGTGCCTAAAAATATCGCTGCTCATGTGTGTTCATGAGAACGATGCTATTTACTTATCGACATGTACTTAAGTGCGACTGATAAACAACAAGTCAGCTATTCCGATCCACTACATTGCGCCAAGATGAACGCTATCTTTCAACCTGAATCAGCCTGTCGAAGAGGAGAATGTATCGGACAAGGCAATTGCGTGCACCAAGTTTCAAGTTCGTGAGTCGTCTATGGCAGCGAAGGACAACCACGTTCTCAACGGATCCACGAAGAACACGCGCGGTCTGGAGCATGGAAAGAGTATTGCCGACGTCATGAGTAGGACTGGGACGTTTGTCTTTGGGCAAATGCTGGAGGCATTGGAGAAGTTTGAATACGTTATCAAGGATGGTGTTGCTCCGTTCGTCGGCCGTTGGATTGATCCGTTGTCACAGCTTTCGGCTTTGGAACTGACGCAGGATGGGGGATATGAGGTATGTGTGCCTCCAACCACAAGTGGTGTGCCTCTAACCACAAGCGGCGTGCCTCTAACCACATGTAGTGTGAGTCTTGGAACGAAAGGTGGGCTGCACGACACCTCAACGAAGTCCCAAGATGCTGGTGAAGTACTACCCCGACGCAAAAAACACCGTCTCAACCTCAGAGCAAGAATCTGCCTACAGTTGAAAATGCCGTGCATACAGTCATCCCTTATTTGCTTCAAGATGCATATCATTTACCTACCACTACATGCAATGTGCCTGTAGCGAGCACTAAGCTCGACTCTGCAAATGAGTCAAAGCGCATTCTTAAAACTAGCGTCTCATCTGAGTCGTCAGAACCATTCGCGATAACGAAGAGCGCGACTACTCGAGGTCGTCCAAAAGTGCGCTAGCGGCAAAAGCAGACCACAAAGAAACAACACATTGGTGAAGGACGAAAAACAGCTAACAAACTTGTCCAAGGAAAGTTGGCGCCTGTTCAAAGTGTGGTGCGTGTGATGGACGAATATGACTAGACGGACAACTATGAAGACGCTCGGAGTGTGCTGGCTGCAATCACCGTGCGATCGTTGCCCAAAACGAAGAAGGCAATTGCTGGCATATAAAACGATGTGGAATGCGAAGCCGACATCCGTTACATGTTTCGGCATGTGTTTGTGACGAAGGCGCTGTCTGCCATTAGGACCTTTCGGAAATCCCTGTGTGATGATAAAAATGATGACGACGATGGGGTCAGCGTTAGAGTACCTCGATTTGAAATTTACTCGCACACAGACATTAAAGCAATGGATTTCCTGACTAAAATGTCGAACACTATCAATTGGTTGCTGAACACAAGCACCAAACGCATTGGAGTACCACCAGATCTTGAAGGCGGTATCAGCGATGCCCCAATAGAAGGGGAAGCGATGATTACGCGCATTCTACTTCATCAGGCTCGGCGAACACCTTTTGGAAGTGTACCGTATCACGAGCTGCTTTGGTTTTGCGAGGACAAGCGGCTAATTGATGGAGCCATGGGCCACGGAATTGCACTACTACAGCGGGTGCACGATGGCGTTGGCGTTGTGAGTCCCATATCACATGGTTTCCGCGAGCGCAATGACCAAATCACAGCTATCGGTGTAGGTAACCGTTTCAGAAAGGGAACAACGTGATTCAACTACCACTTAACGTGGATGGAAATCACTGGTGTGGGGTTGTAGTTGACCTGCGGCCCAAGAGTAGAGGAATCACCATTTTTGATCCTTTGCAAAGGAAGGATGGGAAATACTACGACGCGTACAGGTGTTATTGAACGACTTCTACAAAGAACTGTATCAGCTTCTACATGTGAAGTTGGAAACTAAATCTCGTCAACCAGACACTTCGAGCTGTGGAGTCACTGTGCTCATGTTTTTCGAGTGTAAGATTAGCGGTATTGCACTACCCATCACGCATGCTCCACCCTGCATGCGATTCTTGAGAATGCGCTATCTATCCAAGTGCATGCCGTGATTTGCCTTAGTGTAGACTAAGCTTAATTAACAAGTGCTCCACAATAGAATGATCACATGTGTTATTAACTGATACGCCGGTGCTGCTTATAGAGTTTTATGAGGCGTGGTGTGTCTCTTTGTGCTACACTATGCTGTACCCGTGCGTTTGTAGCACGCAAGACCCAAACATTCCTTACACATCGCTGTGTAACCAAGTGGTTCGAAATACTTTCGCTGCAAATACAATGTGTTTTGTACATTCGTATAACACGACATTGAACTTCTATCATTGCAAGCCAGCTGCAAGCCACCTTTGCGTCGAAGGCGAAACCACTCATTTCATTGCCGCCGAAGTCACTACAAACGCTGAAATTTATGAAATCTATCGGAATGGCTCGCCATAGATTACCCCTCTTTTATGAAGGGTGTACATCCAACACCAACAGCGGTGACAGCAAAGTGCCACTAGGCTCTTGTGTAGGTTACCTACAGTAGGTACATGTACACGTGCCGTGTAACTTTAAGTCTCACTTAAGTACAAGCTGCTCGGTGCGCTAACATTGGTCTTAATTTATATCATTGATGAACGCAGCGTTGCTATAGCCTATATACCACACACAGCTATGTATTACAATGTACTGGATTGAATCACTTATTTAGCGATGGGGACGGCGACCTGTAGTGGCAGAATCCACTGAAGATCGTCGTCCCCCTAAGCAACTCAATGGAGCAAAATTGCATCTCCGCTATAGCTTATCTTGCGTTTGTGTACATCAAATAATCCATCTGACAGTATCCGATCTAATTTTTTAAAATCTTAAAAGATCAAGAAGACAACTGCAGCAATGGGCGTGACAAAGGAAATCCTGTCGGAGGGCAACGGGCCGACGCCCACCAAGGGCGCATCTGTGACCGTACACTGTACTGGCTTCGGTAAGGACCGCGACCTGCAGCAAAAGTTCTGGAGCACCAAGGATCCTGGCCAGACGCCCTTCACCTTTAGTGTGGGGCTCAACCAGGTGATCAAGGGATGGGACGAAGGCGTGCTGGGCATGAAGCTTGGAGAGAAGGCGCGGCTCACGTGCACACCCGACTACGCGTACGGAGCTGGCGGCTTCCCGGCCTGGGGATATCCTTTCTACTAAATAGTAGCATTCTTAAGTAGTTTATATTGTGGTACATCATTGGTTCCTTAACAGTGGTGATTGTGTTGGGAAGTGTACAATTCAGCCAAACTCGACGCTCATTTTCGAGATCGAAGTGCTCAAGATCGAGTAGGCGGGGCTGGGGCTGTTTTCAAGCTACGGGTGCAAGAACAGCTGAAGGAAGAGACATAAGGACAAAGCATTCAGTACAGACATGTGAAGCATCTTCTTAACACTTCAACATATTTCCTAGGTATAGTCTCCAATAGGTTTTGTGAGTTATCGGTAGCACGGCGCCTGCATTAGTTTGACGTATTACTTCAAGTACTCCATAGTATAGTACTTTTATAAAAATGCGTACTTCCGTCAATTCCGAGGGGGATCACTTCAAACAATGAATTGTTTATCGGTTTGGGATAATGAATAACAACTCTCTGAAGTTCCTAGCACCAGCAAGGTGCAACATCCATTAGACTTTTTTTGTTTTCTCATGGATAGACTCATCATAGCTTCAGTAAACAGCGAAAAGAAGACCGAGCAGGGCAGATGACACCATATCATCGTTCAGTACCAACGACGAGGATAACGTGGACCAGTGGCAATAGCACCGCCACGAACAGCAGTCCCTCCAGCGATCACGATCTCGTCATCACTGGTCAACTCGTCTTCGGTCTTGGTATCCAACTCCTCGCTAACGCCTCTCAGAGCTGCATCGAGCATAGTGGTGTCAGCTAAATAACATTCCACAATGTATCTCCGAACCCTCTAGCTTACCACGGTAGCCAACACCACCAAGTCCCCCAACTCCACCGAGTCCGCCGACTCCTCCAACTCCTCCAACTCCACCGAGCCCTCCAAGCCCACCAAGTCCACCGAGTCCACCAAGCCCGCCAAGTCCGCCGAGTCCGCCGACGCCACCGACGCCGCCGACACCACCGAGTCCGCCGAGTCCACCCACTCCGAAGGGATAATAGGGAACATAGGGTTCTTTCCCGTTAGCGTTTAGAGCACGCTCACCGTTGTTCGGAGGAATTGCATACTCCAGAGCTTCTGCTTCCAGCGACACCGGTAGCAGGATTACCAAGCAGCAAATTAAAAACGACTTCATTGTTTTGCACGCAGCAGCACCAGCAGAAATTCGCGAGTGAGACAATGGATTCGATTCGTACTCGACCCGACAGTTAAAACTACCATCCATTTCCGAGAATGCTGCAAACGACTTACGTCATTGCGATGATGCAACAGGGAAAGGATGTTTAGATAACACGTAGTCCGAAGCTGTTATTCAGGTGCAAATCAATAACCAAACGACCACCACTCTCCCACGTTGAAGTTGTCTTCAAGTGGCGCGACGATCAAGAGAGTGAAATTTGGCAGCCGTGGCCCGCTGTTTGGCAAGATCCTGCTCCATTTTCGTGACGACAGATTTTGAAGCGAACTTCATCTTCTCAACCACGTTTCGTTCACGCAATTCCAGGAGCTGCTGGTTAATTTGATCAACAACTGTTTGTTCTTGAGTTGTCTTCCTCTCCACAAGGTCTTCCAACTCCGGGTTGTTGCGTGTTGGCAGATGAAATCGTCTCGCACACCCTGAACTTCCGTGGTGTCCTTCTTCAGTTTCATCGCAACACAACCATCGCTTTGCACGATGCATCATACAAGAAGCGGGCACTGCAGCAGGTCCCGTTGAAGCATTGCGGCGAGTTTCGCAGGTCCGAACGCAAGCAAATGCGTACGTCCCTGTGTGGTAAACACAAGAAAATCGATTGTTCTGATCTTCCGAATATTTCTGTAGACATAATCGACACTGTAGTAGTCGACGTTGGTGGTCATGAATGATTGATATCTTTGTGGGAATATTCACAGCCTTGAACT